AATTTGGTTTACCACCAGCAGAGAGTCGCTGTATACCATTAGTTCGGTGGCCTTCATGTAGTATGCTGATTTGAGTCCTGCAAGAAGCGCTTCATACTCCGCTTCATTGTTTGATGCTAGGAAGCCAAGGTTGATTGCTTGCTCTATAACCAGGCCGTCTGGAGAGATGAGGACTATGCCAAGTCCTGCACCATGCCGGTTGGATGCTCCATCCACAAAGAGCTTCCACATCTCTCCAACGAACAACTTCCAGCAAGTGGAAGGGTCAGACGATGTCGTGGGGTCAAGAGTGGTGTTTTCTTCAATGTCCATGCTTGATGTCTGCCCCTCGCCATCTGATTGGGCTGTTGGTGAGTCTTGGTTTGCTTCTTCTTTGCTGTTTTTAGACTGGTCTGCCTTGGAGTCTGACTGAGTGCTTTCTGCTAGGGGTTGCGCTATTCCGGCGTCAACTGCCATCCCTAGTTCGGTTGTGTCAGTTAGTTCGACTGGACAGATATGATGACTTCCAGGAGTAAACTCTGCGACGAAGTCTGCCAAGGTTTGGGCTTTTACTGCAGTTCTGGGTTGGAACTTGATGTCGAATTGTCCCAACTCTACTGCCTACTTCAAGATTCGCCCAGAAAAGTTCGCCCTCTCAAACAAAGCTTTTAGTGGAAAAGCTGTGAGGACAACTATGGTGTGGGCATGAAAGTAGTGTGCCAATTTCCTGGATGCCATCATTAATGCTAATGCTAGTTTCTCCAATGGTAAGTACCTTGTTTCGGCTCCCAACAATGTCTTGCTGACATAAAAGATGGGCAAGTGTTGTATTCCTTCTGCACGAACCAACACCGCGCTAACTGCGTGCTGAGAGACTGCCAGGTATATTTTAATAGGCTTAAAACTGCCAGAAATTGCCCAGCAGTTACAGGTTCAAAACTGCTGCAGATCTGTTCAAATTTGAACTGTATCTGTTCATTCAAATTTTCATACCTGTTTGGTTCAAATCTGCACCTGTTCGGACAGATTTGTTGGTCACCATTTTGCCTATAAATACCAGCATATTCCAGCAGTTTGGGGCATCCAAAAATATCCAGAAAATATTCTTTTCTTCCCAGTTTTGCGCTTTGGTTGCATTATTCTTCATATTATTTTTAGGGAAAAAATTCAGAGAGTATCGAACATAGGTTTCGTTTGCCGTACAAATTGTTTGGAGTGCTACTACAATTTGTGGTCTGGTTCATGCATGGCGATTTGGTGGTAGCCTCTGTATGCGTCCAGAAAGCTAAGTCGATTGTGTCCCGCCGTTAGGTCTACCAGTTGATCTATCCTTGGTAGAGGAAAGCTGTCTTTTGGGCACGCCTTGTTGACTGTTTTGTAATCGACGCAGACACGCCATTTTCCATTCTTCTTTGGCACTACGATCGTGTTGGAGATCCATTTTGGGTAGTGCACCTCTCTAATTGCTCCTGCCTCCAGCAGGTTACCAACTTCTTCTGCTACTATTTCGGCATGGTGAAGTGCCGATCTACGAGTGCGCTGAATGACTGGTCTGGCGGATGGGTGGACATTGAGTTGGTGACAAATGAAGTTTGGATCAATGCCTGGCGTGTCGTAGGGTGTCCAGGCGAACACTTCGATGTTAGAGGTCAAGAATTCCAAGACCTCTAATCTCTCAGTGCTGGACAACGACGAACCGAGCAAAAAGAACTTATCCGGGTTCTTTTCATCTATTTTTACCTCTACTAAGTCCTCCACTGCTTTCTGGTCTGCCGCTTTGCCGACGTCTGCGAATAGCTCATTATTTTCGGGTTCTTCCACCGAATGAACGTATCCTTTGGCAGCGCGGCTGCCATTCACCGTGGCGAAACATTGCTTTGACATGATCTGATCTCCATAGACTTCTTCAATTATGCCAGTGTCGTTGGGGAACCTCATTACTTGGTGGTAAGATGACGCCACTGATCGCATGGCATGCAGCCATGTTCTGCCCAGGATGATGTTGTAAGTGGAGGGGACCTTTAACACCCAGAACTCCACTTGTTTTGTCACGCTTCCTGCTCTGACTGGAAGAATTATCTTGCCGACGGGCCATTCTGGCATGGAGTTGAATCCAATCAGGGGAGACACGGTAGGCGCCAAGTCTTTGTCTTGCAGCTTCAGCTGTTTGAATGTTTCGTAGTACATGATCTCACATGAACTACCCTGGTCAATCAGAATCCGCTTGACGTCAAAATTCTTGACTCGGAGAGTGACGACCAAGGCATCATTGTGAGGGCAATATATTCGATCTAACTCTTTGTCCGAAAAGGACATGACGTTTTTTGTCTCTGTCTTCCCCTTCTTAATGGCAGGTTGGCCACTTTGTACTTCTCTAAAGTGCTCAGCCTTTTTGATTGATCCCTTGAGCTCGCATACACGCTCAGGTTCAAAGATTCCATGTATTACATTGATGATGCCTTGTGGTGGGGCGTCGATCGGCATCCCATTGGGGTTATTATGATCCTGGGGGGCTGGCTGTGTCCCTCCTTCAATATATTTGTCCAAGTGGCCTGCTGCCACCAACTCTTCCAAGTGTTGTCTTAACGGTGTGCAATTCTCAGTTCGGTGCCCCTTTTCTTTGTGGAAGGTGCATCGTGATCTGTCGTCGTAGTCTTTCTGAGCTTCCCCTAGCTTGGCTGGCCACTTGACAAAAGGCTTATCTCTTATTTCGCTCAGAATCCGATATATCAGTTTTTTGAACACCGTTGTTATGGCAGTGCGGATTCTCAACCATCTTTTTATCTCGTCTCCACGTCCGTTTCTATTCTCCGATGACTGTATTGACCTTTGTTGAGGTTTCTTTTCTGTATTGCGGTCGCCACTAATTTTGCTTTGCACGTGCGCATCCTCTCTACCTATGTGCTGATGCACTTCTTATCAGGGCTCCATGGTCATGGTGATTGAGTCCCTTAGTCTGTTCCCGACTGGAAGGCCTCTTTTATATTGTGCAATGGCGAGATTGGTGGGGCAGTCCCCAATCTGATTGAATGTTTCCCAGTAGCGACTGTTGTAGGATCTAAGGGTCTCTTTATCCCCCATGTCGATGGAGAGTAACTGGTCGATCTCCACCGGTGTTTTTGTGTTTGTTCGGAACCTTGTTACGAACGCTTCTGCCAATTGAGCTCAGGAGGCTATGCTGCCCTCTGGAAGTTTTTCGAACCAAATCAAGCCTAGGTCGCCAAGGCTTGATGGGGAAAGTATGCACATTAAGGCCTCGTTTCGCCTGTATACGGCCATGACTTGGCGAAAGTGGCTCAAGTGTGAATACGGGTCCGTCTTCCCTTCATATGTAGTGAATTTCGGCTGAAGGAAGCCTGTTGGTAGGGGCGCGTTTTCGATCGCCGGAACAAACGGTGAAGTCTGTAGTCTTGCTAAGGCTTTGTCCGTTGGTTCATATGCTGGGCGCGGTATTGGCATTCCAACCTCGACGCTTCCATGCGTCCGAGGAGCCAACCGCTGTAAGGCAGAGACTCTGTGTGGATCTCGCGCCCTGGCATCCTCCTTGCATCGTGCTTTTTCTTCGAGCACGGTTCGTAAGTCGGATGACCTGGGCAGCTCTGTCTGTCTAGATCTGGTTTGGTGTGAGTGCGAGGGCCAATACGTGCTTCCTTCAGTGTATGATCTCTCAGATCTCATCCTCTCAGACCTGGAGTGACGAGTTCTGGAAGATAAGGAATGAGTCTCGCCTGTCCTGAGGCTTCTGTTCTCTCCTTGCGAGGGTGTAATATTCCTACTACGATTTTCTGAGTGGCAAGGGGGCGTCTTGTTTTTGCGCCCCTCTCCTGTCGCCACTTCTTTTTTCTTCATCTGGCGTTTCAAGGCCTCCATGTCTGCCGCCATCTTTCTTATCAATTCATCTTGTTCCTTCACGCGGTCTTCCAGGGCTTGGGGATCAATTCTCCTCCTTTGCCTGTCAGGACTTTGTGAACGAGAGTGACGGGGGCTGTTAGTTCGTCTTCCCCTTCCATCCCTCCTGGAGCTATGTCGTTGGGGTTCCAAGTCTGCCATGGGAGGGACAGAGGGTAATCCTTCACGCCTTGCGCCCCCATCTGGAGTTAGCCCGTCGACGGCGGACTGCGATAGTTCCTCAATATGTGCCATTGATTGAGAAAAGGAGAAGCTTAGTCAAGAGGTTTTCGTTCTTGTCTGTTCTTCCCACAGACGGTGCCAATTGTACGGGAAAGAAATACACCTTCTCGTATAATCCTGTTGACCAAGTCTACGCTCCTCCGTACGACGTCGCTTTATCACCTGAAAACACAAACGTGAACTAGCCGGCGGGTGTGTGCCGGAAACCTCTCCGATGCCTAAGTCAGAAAACTTGACAAATAGACAAAGCTCTATGTTCTCAGAGAGCAAAATTATGTTACCTCCTCCAAGGTGATGTTTGTGAGTTTTTTATAAGTATCGAATGGCACAATCCTAGTAGGATTTCTATTCCTCCATGCAGAGTCCTCCTAGGATTCATACTCCTAAGGATAATGCTTATCCTTTTACACCCCCCCACTGCTTAAACCAAGTGGGATGGTTTTCATCATGGCCGAACTGCCATACGACCGAGATAAACCAGGCTATACTGAGCCACAGAGTAGGCGGTACTAACAGTAGTTCGGTCCTTCTTCTTGCTACACCATATCTCGGTTCTCTCATGCACGAACCATGGTGTGTTTGGACCGATCTACCGAGTAGCAACATTCCGACCGACCTATCCAGAATACATCATGACCGGACTATCTCTTCGACCGGCCTAACTCCAAGTTGCCTTTGGACCGGAGTAGCTTTACATCGTCTTGGACCGAAATAATTTTACCTCTCTTGGGCCGGAGTAACTATATCTCTTTTGGGCCGGAGTCAACATTAAGGCCTTTTTACACTGTCCTTCGTACTTTGGGCCCACAAAATCCATCTTACAGCTCGGCCCAATTTTCACCAAAAATTACCCTCTCACAAACCATGAGAATAATTAGTTGATTACCAACCTGAACACTTTGGAATATCCCAAACAGCAATAGATGATGGAGTACATTCTGGTTCACAAAGTTATCGATTGTCCTCATGGTTGACATTCATTGCAAGCATCCATGCACCAATCGTAACATCTTCATCGCTGAACATACGGAAACTGTAAATTCAAGCAAATCTGAACACATTATATAAAAAAATATGGACTCCAAAAGGAGTATCAGTGAAACACTTTAACCTTTAATATCTATCTTGACACATACGATATTGTCATTTTTTACCTATTTCTTATATGAGGTTATAGTAATTTTTGCTTGGGTAAGAATCAATAAATACTACAGAAGTTTAGATTTAAGTACTTTCACTTCTTAATTATTTTCCTTTTCTCTAGGTCAGGAGATAGGATCCAGATGTGAACAGTAAAAGCTCAGGCTATCAACAGTGAATATGCAAGTTTTAGGGTAACTACTTTGTGCAAATAATGCCAAAAGGTGATATATTGTATACCCAGTATACCCGAGTAGCACCCCACAAAGGTTGGACCAGCACTGGATAAAAGAAATAAAATTCTACACACATATATTAGAAGGGAAATTAAAAAGATTGAAGAGCATAAATTTATTGTCTACCTTATGTTATACGTGAAATTTTCTGACATTTTCAATTTGGTTGAACTGGCCATTGGACACGATAGAGAGAGAGAGAGGCCTATTTTGTTTATAAATAATAAAAAAACTACCCTCTCGCCAAACTTTGTAAGTGTAAAGATAAGTTTGTCTTTTCTTATCACAAACATGAATATCCAGGCACCTTGTTTGTATTACCCTCTCACCAAGAGAAAGTAGCATTGAGGAAAAAGGGTCAGAAATGACGCAAATATTCAGTAACCTCTTCTAGCAACAGAGTATTCATCCTCTATAGTCTACACAAATACTAAAAATAGGAATATAGGGTGCATTTGCAAGAGAGACAAGAATGCATGACATTAGCCCCACAAGTACTTAAAATAGGAACAATGGGTGCATTCACAAGGGGAAAATCTATTACAATATTTCATTGAGGCAAACCAAACACAACACTGTCAACAAAGATTTTTAATTTGGACATCAAATATTTTTTCATATAAAAGGCCGTGACCTGGCATGCTTACATGTGTTATCCACCCCAAGTATTATTATTATGGTGTGGGTTCAAGTGACCTACATGCCCTATTCACATACCGTCTGTCCCTACAGGTCAATTGACTAGTTCATTGTTAAATCTAACAAATTTTAACAAATTACTTTAAACATTAATAAAATTGTACTTACCAAATAGTAAACGTCATTCGACCACCTTAGATCCCCAAGAGTTGTGTGAGTTTGGTGACTACATTATTCAGATGATCAACTTTTTTATCTGTCTTCTCCTGATCTTTCTGTCCTTGCGCCCGCTGTTGCAATATCTCATTGTAACATCTCTCGCGTTCCTCCCGCTCTTTCAACATATCATTGTAATATTTTTCGCACTTCTCTCGCTCTTTCAACATATCATTGTAATATTTCTCGCTCTCCTCTTGCTCTCTCATCAACTCTTCACGATCTTTTTGTTGCTCCACACGAAGTGCCTCCATCTCAGCTCTCATTGCCTCCATATCCTTATCATGTGCTCGTGATGCAGCTATGGTGGACGGTTGTGGGCCGATCCCAAATCCAAAAAAGTACTTTTTCTTCTCTCCAAGCACTTGCCTTGAAAGCTCCTCCTGTGTCAATGGCGTTCCTGACTCAATGGCAGCCATTTGTAGATTGACCATCTTTTGCTGTCATTGCAATGAAGAAGACAAAAAGGCATAATAAGATATATATTTTTGGGTACTAAATACAATTAATTCATTGTTTCATACTTACATGTAGCTCACCACATTTGGGATGGATCCAGTCATTCATCTTCTTGGATGTGTGGCTATTCTCATAAAACTTTGAAAAATCCAAATCCACATTTTTCGCTACCTGTTGATTTCAAATAACAACAAATAAAAAAATCACAACATATTATTCATAACAAAATAAAAATAATGAAGTTAATTTTAAATAACATCAATCTCACGATAGCAGCCATCATTATAGGAAATGAGCGAGATCCACCAGTATGATTGTATGGCAACTGATTTCTGTTACTCTTACCAGCTTTTGACCGTTTCTACAAAAAATAAGTACATAAACAATTTTTTGTTAAATATTGGCTATATCACATTTGGAACGGGACTATGTATGATGCATTAGTATTTTACCTGGTGAGATGCATCTCGCCATGTCACATCGATCAAATGCTTCCAATCATCCAAACTCACCTCTCGGGGCAGATGAGCATATAGGTCATCAACACCCTCTTCCTTTAATAGCTTGAATTCTTGCTTCAAGTTGTACCTCCAATCTTTGTACAACTTATATGCTTTCGTATTCACAATTTGTTGAGCTTGTGAGTCATTGTGAAAATCGTTCCCAATATCAAACTTGCCCTACAACCATAGCAAGTGAAAATGTCAATCATTACAATAAGTGCTTCTTACAAGTATAAATAATAGAGGAATACATATTGCCCAATATTATCAATTACAAGAACAGCTTGGATGACGGTAGCTTTGGTAGTCTCATCCATCTTCAGCCACGATGTAACATCCTTGAGAGGGCACATACTCCTAATCTGAAACCCTAACTCATTAGCTGCTAGAGTGGCATAATCTCCGGTCATTGCATTTAGGACACGATCAATGTGAACATATAATTTTCCCCCTTTGTTAGATCTCACTATATTTTGTATTCCTTTTCCAAGTGTAGGTCCTCATACACGTGTGGACCTAGAAGTCCCTGATAACAAAATAACAATAACCAAATTACAAATAATGACAATTGATAATTGACATAGTTGAAGTACAATGATCTTACCTGTGATATGATTTTGAGTTTCCGACGGTGGCTGTGTCTCATCAGAATCCTCGAATGGTGGGCTAGTCGTATCAGGAGAAGATGCATCGATTGATCTTGAGGGGACAACAAGAGGTGGTGCACCTGTTGATCCTAAGGGGACAACAAGAGGTGGTACAACTGTTGATCCTAAGGGGACGTTAGCCGGCGAGTTTGCTTCAGTGGTCATCAGTGTCCTTTTATTGAGCCGACCAGTCTTCAAGCTAGGAACCATGATGCAAACTGCAAGAACACAACTAACAGTACAAAATGTCATAGACAATAACACATTTAATTATAAAGAAGCGATATAACAAGCTACTATGTCTTGATTTTTGAATTATTTGTTGCGTAGATATATAACAAGCTAACATTATAAATCATGATATACATTATATAATTTATAAAAAGATATATAATAAGCTATGACATGATTCTGATGAAGTAATAAGACAAGTATTTTAGTTCATTATCATATCCAAATCATAAAAACAAATACATCAACATTCTACGTCAACATCTGTATCAAAATCACTTTGCAGGTCACATTCTTCATCTGTGTCGTTGCCCTCCCCCATTAATCCATCTTCATTATCATAGATGAAGGCATCATCTATAACACCCTCGACTTCTACACCTCTAATAGATTGCAAAACTTCCATTGGAATAATTTCAGATTCAATATCATCTCGACGCAAAGCCACATCATCGTCAATAGCCTCAGTTGGTACAACCTCGGTAGTTTCTTCTTGTTGGAACACATCATCAGTTTCTACGTCATCCATCTGCGGCACATCCCAAATTCCTCGATGTTCAAACTTTTCTACGACTCTCCAATTGGCACCTAGTTTGGTATCATCAACATAGAATACTTGTTTAACTGGACTTGGTAATACAAATGAGTCGTCTTTGTACCATCGACTTCTTACATCAACCGTTGTCACATGTGGTTCGACATGCATAGTTCTCCTACTACTGGTGTTAAACCATTCACATTGGAACAATACGATCCGATGTCTAAACAAATAGTTCATTTCCCACACTTTGCACAAGTATCCATAGAAGTTTATCAATTGGCCTTCATGCTCCCCTTCCACAACCAACCCACTATTTTGACTTTTACGACGATTGTCACTGTCGATAGTATGAAATCGGATGCCATTACAAATACATCCTGTATATGTGTTCACCAAGCCACTAGGACCATTGGCTAATGACCACATCTCATCAGTTGCTTCAGGGGACACTTGGTTCTGCAATTGATTCATCTACATGTAGAACATGTGTTATGCTACAAGTATACGCAATATTAAGGTAATGTATGACTGATTGTAAAAGGGATTTCGATCTTACACAATCTTTGAACCATTTAGGAAATTCTTTGCATTGCCTCTTTGCGATGTCAAATGCACCACCAGTTTGTTGTAACAAGTTCTTGTGCTCCCTAGTTACAAAAATGGCTCTCAAAATAAATTAAATAAATCAATACTAATCGATTTGACAACTATAACATATAAATACGTGGAATGGATCCATACTCTAAGTATTTTTCCACTTCAAAGCTATTGTGCAGGACAAACCAATGAGCCATCTTGCGTTCAGCTACGGACACATCGGATACCCTTGTCATTAGATCAAAGGGACGGGCATTTTGAGTGAATACTGCCAACCCTGGGCCACGGTCGCCCATTTCGTAATTCCTTTCTACCCAGTTAAAAATTGTTTCAACTCCATCCAAATACATTGAACAAAATGTTGTACACTCTTTTGAAATGTCGAAATGTAAGCCTCGGCAATAGAGCCTTCATGATAAGCTTTATTGGCCACAAACCCTTTTAGACGTCCAAGCAACCTAAAAACCAAGACGATGAGAATGTTATATTTAAATTTATATTATCAGTGAAGCATTAATTACAATTTTCACACTACAAAAGTACCAACATACCTCTCAATTGGGTACATCCATCGATATTGCACTGGCCCTCCAAGCATAGCCTCTCGAGGCAAGTGAATTGCCAAGTGGACCATAACATCGAAAAAAGCCGAAGGAAAAATCTTCTCAAGCTTATAAAGTATGAGTACAATTTGTTCCTCCAATTTATCCAAATCTGTGATCCTCAATGTCTTTGAACACAACTGTTTGAAGAAATTTCCCAACTCAAAAAGTGTGGTGCCAAGTTCCTTAGTAAGGTAGCCACGCATCCCAATCAGAAGAAGT